TGTGGGATCGCGTCCCACCCGGAGCTCACCCCATTTCCAGCAGCATTAACCTCACTCATCTGCTTTGGTCCGTACCCGGTTAACCTGCACTCTCAGCTCCCTCCAGGCACCGTAACCACACCCCACGGCTGCTGTCTCCTCCAGCATGCCCCACTAATCTCTGGGATGGCCTCCCCCCCTGCTGCCCACATCCCCCCATCCGCGTGCCCCCTGCCGCCCGCCCCATCCCACCTCTTGTCTGTCTTTTTCTCCCTCCCAGAGCCTGAAGGAAGGCCTGACCGTGCAAGAACGCCTGAAGCTTTTTGAATCCAGGGACTTGAAGAACGACTAGCTCTCCCCGCTCCGCTTCACCACGCGCACCTCTCGGCTTGAGGCAGCACAGCACCAGCACCGTTCGTCCCACGCCGCTCACCGCCGTCCTCGCTGACGTTTGGCCCCACAGCTCCCTCACCACCCCCCTTTTCCCCGCTTGTGAGACGCTTCTGAGACTCTTGAGAGGGAGAGGAAGGGATTGGGCTGTGGGTTTTGTGGGTTATTATTATTATTATTATTATTTTTTCCCCTCTTCAGCGCTTTGTAGGAGAACCCTTCCTTTACTGTAAACCATTACACTAAGTGTCAGTATTAAGGCTCAGTAGCCTGTGAATAAGCTAGCTCCGTCGTACCAACGGCTTGGTATGCACGCAGGGCTGGGTGGCGGGGGCCATCCCTCTTACTACTGTCACGAGCCCCCAGTGCTCAGAGCACACCGGGAGCTTCATTTGCCGTTGATTGCGTCGACTGCATCTCTTGCACCTGCAATAGGGGAAAGCCTGTGGGATGCTGCCGGGGTGCCTGGAGGAGCCACGCCTGGCTGGCAGAGGACACAGTGCCCGGGCACCAGCATTGGGTAGGGGCTGCTGTGGGCACCTGGTGCGCAGGGGAGGGGGGGAAGCGTTCCTGGGGCCGAGCTGTGAGGTCACTTCTTGCCTCTCCTAGATCCAGCCCAGCACTGGTTTGTTGTTTTTTTTTTTTGCTGTTACTCCCTTCCTCTCATTGAGTCCCGTGTACGTTAGGGTCTGTGCGCATGTGAAACTCCCTTTTCCTAGTCCAAGGAAAGTAGAGTAGAAAGTAGAGCCAATAATGACTGAAAATGCACAGTGCTCAATGCATATAATGCTCCTTTTTTATCAGCTTCTTGAACTCAACTCTTCCTGTCAGCAGGGCAGCTCCTATTTTAATTCGTTTATCTTTTCCTGAAATAAAAGTCTGAAAACCAGCCTGTGTTTCAGACCTGCTCAGTCACAGCAGCTTCTGTATCGGAGCAGGCGGTGCCACGAGGTCCATAGGTGAGTGCAGAGCTCGGTGCTGGCTGCAGGAGCATCTCCACATGCTTTGTGCACCTACACAGCCCCGGCTGTGAGTGGGGTGAATCATTGCCCCATCGCTCCCCAGTCTGACACGGCCGCGTCACTTTGGATTTCGGGAGATTTTTAGGTGGAGCTGAGCTGATTCTTGACTTCTCTGTGCTCACCTGAAGCAGGTGTGTGCTGATTTGGGTCTCTTTGGGCATGGTGTGTGGCCAGCTGGGAGGTCCATCTGCAAGGATAGAGCTCTCACTGAGTGCTCCAGCAGTGCCACCAGGCATACAGAGATGTTCTGCGCTGCGCCTCCGTACCTGGCTGTGTGTGGGAATCCTGGAGATGGCAGCAGGGATCCTCAGCCACTTGGATATGAAGGCTCTTCCCTCTCCAGCAGGTGTCCACCCTCTCAGATGTTCTGCTGTGCAGCCTCACCCCAACCTGAGCTCACCGTAGTGTTCTCCATCATCCAAGCACTGGAGGAGCCTTGGTAGCCCAAGCCTGGAAGAGGGACTTGGTGATCAGGTGTGTGCAGGGGGCCTCTGCCAGCATCTTGTGTGACTGCAGGCTGGGTTTGGTGGCACTGGCTTGCACGGGCTTTGCTCTGCTCTTGGATGCTTCCATGCCCTGTGATCTCCTGGCACATGGAGCGAGGATGGTACGTGGCATCATCACTGTCACCACTCATCTCTCCCAAGGCTGCACTGGATACAGGAGAATGCCTTCCTCCTCTCAAGAAGCACAGTAGGACTTTGTCCTTCTCAGCCACCTGAGCAGAACATGCTGATCTCCCTCTTGCTATGTGGACTCCAACCATTCTTATGTTCCCCTGGAAAGCCTTGCTTTACTTTGCTGACTTTGTTATTTTAACCACGAGCACCACAAGGGCCACAGCTTGCTATTTCACTGCCCAGCGCATGGGAGCTGTGCAGGATGGGCACTGACTGATGCCACTGGGCACTGTAACTCCCTAAGAGAGGATGCTGCCTGCTGCACATGTGGTTGTACTTGTACCCAGCTCTGACTGTCATGCCTGGTGTCGGAGAACCATCTGCCTTCTTTGCCCAAATGGGAGCTTTCACCCTTATTCCTTAAGGCAGAGAATGGTGGATGTGGTGCAGCTACGTGGGTGCTGCAGGAGGTGTAACCCAGTGCAGGGAGACCAGTGCCAAATGGACTGACCACAGCTTTTGGCTCAGCACACATCATTGTGTTCCTGTGGTTTGTGAAAACAGGTGACGAAGGGCTAAAAGGTGCTGCAGTGGAGATGGAATTGGGATTTGCTGGGGTTACTGCTATTGGGGAAGCTTGACTTAATGCACAGCTGCTCCAGCCCTTCAGGGGGCTGATGGAAATGCCCTTCCCTGAGTTCTAAAATACCATGAAGCAAATTGGGGATGCTGTACCTTCCTGCAGCAGCACCATCTGCTGGGGGTGAGCATCCCATAAATGGGAACAAAACAGGAGCACCGCACAGCTGCACAGCAGGAGCAGTCTGGGGCAGGGCCTGGGCTCTCCCCTGGCCTCTCTCCAAAGCTGGTGGCAGCCCTCAGCCTCAGCGAGAGAGAGGGGAAGGGCAGCTGCAACGGACAGTGGGGAATGGGGTGATGGCTGGGGAGAGAACAAAGCTGGCCAGAAAAGTGATGGCAGTGATCCGGGGTTGTCTCGCTTCTCTCCTGCTCTGGGCATCATTCATCCTCTTGCCACTGAAGTGACACAGGTGCAGACAGTGCCTGTAAGAGATACTAGGACTTATTTTCATCTTCTGCATAAAATCCTCTCGCCCTCAGCACTGTAGCACAGCTCACAGCTGCTGCGTTCCTATGCTGCCGATGCAGAGCTGTTTGCTGTGACCACTTATGCACACAGCACGGCTTGCTTTGCCTTTCCTCTTCCCCATCCTCTTTTTTAAAAGCAAAAACGCTTTGTTACTCTCTTTTGAACGTAAATAATTTAAAAGCTGTATAGTATTCCAAGTACGCAGTGTAAATATTTGTGACTCAGAAATCAGCAGAGGGCTCTCGTTTGTGACAGCGTTACGGTTTTGATGTCACTGGCTGGGTGAGAGCCGTCACCCCCTGCCTGCCTGCCCCGCTGGGCTCTGCTTTGCACTGTTAGGAATAGCTTCTCATGCCTTTTCTGCTGCCCTACCCTTGAGTTTCGATGATACCTGTCTGAAGAATGCACACGGTCGGTTTGAGAACTGTAACTTTACTGCGCCGTAAACTTTTTTCTACCCTTGAACTGAATGGCTCCACCACGGAGCAGAGCAAAGCGTGGGGCAGCGCATGCAGTGCTGCGTTTGGGCTGTGTGCAGGTGCTGTGCAAGGCAGCAGGGGTTCTGCCAGGAAGGACAGCTCATCCTGCACGGACACACAGCCTGCAGCACAGCACTGCCCAAATGCTGAGTGCACCAGCGCCCAGTGCTGCACGCAGCCCCACAGCAGGGGATGCAGAAATGCAATGTGTGAGGACAGGGCAGGGAGGGGAGGCTCACCTCACAGCTGCAGCTTTGAGACAACCGAAAGAAGGCAGGGGTGCGGAAGCTGCTGGCAGAAACCTGATAAGCCCATCAAGGTGGTAGCAGCTGAAGGCAGCCAGCTGGCCGTGAGCTGGCAAGTAATTAGTGCAATTATAAACAATTGTTTTCTCATTCTTCCTTCTTTACACACTGACAGTGCACAGGATGTGACAAGAACACTAACTATGTTCTAAACCAGAGAGAGCAAAGTAAGTTGCAAGATGCTAAAGGTGATGGCAGGTAGGCGATAGATCAGAGCGCACAGCCCTTGACCCTTTCCTGGGACCTGGTGATGTAGATGGCTCCAGATTGTAAAGAATCAGTTATTGGAAGGGATAAAGATTCGGGGAGAGAGAAAGGAATGCTGCAAGTCTTTGGGTGGCATCAGCAGCGGTCAGCACTGGTGGTGCACAGCATAAGCCACTGCCCAAACCGCAGCCGCGGGACTCCTGCGTTGCAACACATGGTGCATCTGCCCTTGTACTGAGAGCTCTGTGCTCCTAATGGAAACGATGAGGGGCTGTGAGCAGGAGCTGAGCACAAGATTACGTGCCCAGACGCAGCAGCTGCCCCCCCCACTAACCTGCATTTGACAGCAGCGATGCTGCAGCATGCACACAGCACCTGTGCAGGTGGGGACGCTGCTGCTGGCAAACCTGCGGCTGGAGCCCAGCACAGGAGGCCAGGGAGCACAGCCGTGCTGCAGCTCTGGCTGTATGCAGCCCCAAGGGCCTCTCTTGCATCAGATCCATCCAGGAAACGATGCATCGCACGTGATTCCATTCCCTCTGCCAGGGGCTCCCGCTTCTCTGTGTGCACGAGTTCCTCGCCTCTTCCCTCCTCCTCTCTTCCACTCCTGTTTTATTCACTGCTTTTCGAGGAATCTCTGTTCCTGGTAACTGTTCTCTGTAATAGAAACATCACTTTTTTGTCACTGTATTTATTCCTTATACAGCCGTGTGCGTCATGCTAGGTTCCCATGGATGTAGCTGATCATTTTTATTTTGTAAATATAATTACCTAACTTTACGTAAACGATATCCTAATAAACTATTTTTGCACCACCCTTTGCATGCTGTCAGTGCAGCCTGTGTTTGTTCCAACGACGAAACGACGCAAAGAAAGCAGGAGGCAGAGCCTGAACGGGGTGAACTGTCTGCTTTTATAGTTACATTTCACAAAGAAAACACAACAAGTATAACTTTAACAATAAAATATTTAAAGGAGCATATATTTAAACCTGCTGAACCAGACTTACTACAGAATAAACCGCCTCAGCTCCTCCCCCAGCTGCTACATCACAGATACAATGCATGGTTTTGTCTCCCCACACCCACGCCAACTCTCTCCAACACAACAAAACAAACCCTCAATCCGATGATGTTCCCCCACATCCTGAACAACACCCTGTGCATCTCCAGGAACTTGTAGTGATTTGGATCTCGGAACCAACCAACTCACCAGTGCAAAACACTCCAGGTGATGTGGAGTTTGTCTGAGAAAGTGGCACGTTAACACTGCGAGGTGCAGCATTTGTAGGGAGCAGTTTAAGCTCTAACTGGATCAGCAAACACAGCTGCACTAAAAGTTGCAGGCAATGCTGCAAGTTACACTGCAGCTGCAGTTGCTCTTCAGACGAGGCCAACTGTGCCCACAGAACAGCTTCATTTCTTTCTGGGGACTCCCTGCACTGCACTGCAGGAAGATGAGCTGGCACGGCTGTCTGCTCTCACACACTGACACTGGAACTCTACTAACCTCAAACCAGAGGAAACTCACACCCAAACCAAAACTTCCCATTTCCCAGATTTCCTTCCACAAACTGTCAATAATTCACGCAAACAAAAGAACAACCACAGTGACATCTCCACCTACACAGCCCCCAGTTTTGCTGCAGCCCTCACAATCCTCCTTTCAGGGTACAGCTCCATCCCACAGCACCATGAGCTGGAGAACGCCCAGCTCCCTGCACAAGTCCTGAGCGCAGCTCAAACCTCACCTCCCCCATTGCAGGGCACAGCCACCAGCCTGCCCACAGCAGCCCATTGCTCGTGTCCTCACAGAGCCCATCAGCTGGGTCATCACTGCTCATTTAGCACACGAGGCACCTGTGGCAGTTCAGGGTAGAGAGCACTGCAGCTCAGGAGGAACTTAACGAAATTACAACCAGATGGGTAATACATCGATGGCTATGGATAATAATAAACCCCCCGAGTGCCATCTGTTCCAAGCCCCTCCAGCTCAGGGAAGCCACTTAATCATTTTCTTTGGAAAAAAACGTGTAGTTGCTAGGGTTGTACTCTTCCCAAATCCTTTCAAACTCATCCAGAAAAGGCTGCACGTACTCTGTGTCCTCCATGATCACCACGTTCTCCTGGTTGCTATGGATGGCCTCCATGGTCCAGTTGAGGGAGCCCGTGATGAGCAGCTTCTTGTCCACGATGGCAAACTTGTGGTGCATGAAGGCCACGTCCTGGTTGTGACGCACCTGGATCCCTACAACGACACGACAAGGACGTGATGGGCAGGGATGGCACCCAGCCCCTCAGCAACGCGAGCCACAAAGGCAGCATCTGGAGAAGTGCCACCAAAGGGAAACGACGAGGGGCTGCAAGGAGCTGAGCACAAGATACGTGCCCAGACACAGCACCCAGCCTGACCTGCATCTGGCAGCAGCAATGGCGCAGCATGCACACGGCGCACTGCAGCTGGGCACAATGCTGCTGGCAAACCCGCGGCTGGAGCCCAGCACGGGACACCGGGGAGCACGGCCGCGCTGCAGCTGTGCGCAGCCCCAAGGGTCCCTCTCGCATCAGATCCATCCAGGAAACGACGCATCGCGTTCCCACCAAGCGAGTGCCACCGGCTGGGCCCGGCACCGGGCACCGCGGCGGGGCCCTGAGCTCGCCAACGGCGGTGGCACCAGCGGCAGCAGCTCACCCAGCAGCCGCAGCACGCCGATCTGCGAGCCCCTCAGCGCCATGTACTGCGAGTCCGTCACGACGCGGACGCGGACGCCGCGGCGGTGCAGGACGCAGACGGCCCGGCCCAGCTCGGGGCTGGAGAAAGCGAAGAGGCAGAGCTCGAGGGAGCGGCGGGCGGCCAGCAGACGCCGCAGGAGGCGGCTGAGGGAGCAGTCCGAGCGGGGCAGCGGGCACGGGCACGGCGCGGGGCGGCCGTCGCGGCCCTCCGCCTCGGCCAGCAGCTCCTCGGTGCAGCAGGGCCGCGACGGGAAGAAGAGCACCTCGCGCACCGCCCGGCGCCGCCGCCGCGCCGCCAGCAGCCAGGCCAGCAACAGCCCGATCCCCAGCCCCAGCGCCAGGCCCGCCCGCATCGCCGCGGCCCCGCGCCGAGCCGAGCCTGGCAGCACGCGGCCCGCGCCTGGAAGCGGCCGGCCTGAAGGCGACCGCGAGCGCTCTGGGCGCGTGCCGAGTGACGGCAAAAGCAGCAGCCGTGCGGAGCTGCGGGAACTCAATGCACAGCACGCACAGCCCGGCCGGCCCGCGCGCGCCTCCGGAGCGCGTCCACGCGCCGCTCCGTTCGCTCGGCAGCGGCCCGCTGGGGTTCGCGGACTCTGGCGGCTGCCGCCTTCCTTCGTGCAGCCGTGCGGAGCCCATTGGGAAGCGCCGCCCGCTCCTCCCTGCCCGCTGCGATGGAAGCGCGGCGTGAAGCCTGAGCTTGGGCTCACCTTTCTCCGCACGCAAACACGGACGTAGGCAGGAACCGAGCGTTACGCGGCTTTAATGCTTGGAGGAACGATGCTTTAGAAAGCAGGCGGCTCAGCTGTCAGAACATCTGAACGCCACACGGCTGGCCTGCTGTTGCACAGCTCTGGACTGAACCAGAACAGCTTCGAAGCAGAAAAATTACTTGATCACATGTAAGGTAGCCCCGAGAGCAAGCACCAGCCTTGTACTTGAGATCCTGACTCACTAGTCCATGCTTTTCTATTTGCTGCTGCCATTTTTGTTTCCCTATCAGTGGACTCTACCCCATTTATTACTCAAAGTTTCCTTTCCTGTGGCTTGTGTACCTTTTCTCCCTCATTTCCTTATTGACGATGGGAAAACGCCTTTCTCGGAACCCTGAAATTAAATAACTGGTTGATTAACAGGGTAATGCTTTTTTTTTTTCTAAGTATGTTTGCTGTTTGAATATCCTGTCGTTATGTCCAGCCAAGCATTGTCAATTAAGTTAGCAGTAGCTCTTGTTCCACTCATGTAACAAACATTAAAGTTAAGAGGCTCTTAAATGCTGCACGTTAGATCTGGGCTAAGGTGCAGGAACTTGTGAATCAACTGCTGCTTCCCCCAACCCCAACACACACACACTTAAATCAAGACAAAATGAGGCTTTGTCCATTTTATAAAAATAGCTCTTAATGAGATTTAATGTCTGTCTCCATTTTACAGATGTTCCAGACAAAAGCAACCTGCATATTTTATACAGAACAGAACTGGTTACAAGTTGGAACACCGGCTCTGAGCTCCATTCTTGTCCCAATGAGAGCAGTAGGTCACCTGGTCAAACCTGCCTCGAGCTGGAAACAAACAGCTGTGGTAAGGTCAAGTTTTCCCAAGAATGATCCAGGACAAAAACGCCATGACTTCACAACAGAAACAGTGATTCCTTACAATGCAGTTAAGGAATGTCTGTTTAGGTCATATAAAAACTGCACCAACGTTGTCTTGAACTATTAAGCATTCAAAATGGCTACTATAGAGTTATATAAGAAGGGAGCACCTACAGGTTGGATCTGCTTAACTTAATTAGGTAGCTAGAAAACTATTTCTGAAGACAAAAGAACACACCAGAGGCCTTACCCTGGAGAGGTAATCTTCATTATTTGGAAGGTTTGCAACACAGGCAAAACAAGGTGTTGTACCCTCAGGAGGGGCGAGCAGACTGCATTTTGAGACTTGTAGTATTACAATCCTCCCTCCCAGACAGGATTTCCAAAGCAAATGCTGAAACTGTCTCAAGTCAAGACATAAATAAATAGAAGCGGAGTGACGGGACTCCAACAGGATCCTCCTGACTTTTGCTACAGCAGAAAATAGTCTCTTCATAAATCTGAGTGGTTTTAAATAATTTACACGTGATCCATACCCTGTGACATCACTTATTTTTTGGTTCTTGGTCTCTCAGACATTTAGGAGCTGTATGTGAGATTCAGAGAGGTCAGCTACATCCATTCCAGGAGTTCTGGATGCTGTCACAGGTCTCTGAGTCTTGCCAATGAAATCTGATTAAGCACCATAATGCCTTAGGATGACAGCACGGGATTTTAATTACTTCACGCTGATTCTTTGTGTTGCTGTATTTTAGTCTTGAGCGTGCAGGTCTAGGTTTAGAGTTTCAGGACAGACAGCAGCAGTGTTTATTAGCACTTATTAGTCCAGTCTCACAGCAATTAGAAAAGACTCAAGTGACTCTTCAAGTTAGTTTGAGGACCATTAGAATAGCGATGAGGTTTCACTGTCCTCCTAATGCACATGCTGCAGGCTCAGCAGTGGTAACTTGGGGTTCCCTGCAATTATCTGAAGGCAGCAAGTGAGGTTGGGCACCCTTTAGTTCCGAGACTCCGAGGACGTCGGGCTGCGAACTGTTGACATCAGGTGGGACTTGTATGTCTTGCTCAGGCCAGTCATCCAGAACTTCAGAAGCTTGACATTGTCCTCCTCTGCAGCTCCCAGAATGCTCAACAGTTTCTGGGTATCTTCCTTGGGTCTGCTGTCCACTTTGGTGAATTTAAAGAGGACCTTCACTTTACTGCAGGAAAGAGGAACTCCTGTCACCACTACAGTTCACTCGTGTGCATCAAACAGGCAATTTGAGCACTAACTGCAACTTCTCTCAGCACCTACTGCAACTACACATTAATAAATGTCTCAGCAGTATTCCACAGAGACTATTCTCCAGCTTTCAACAAAGGAAGTGGGGGAAGAAGGGCACAAGGGAGATCAGTTAAGGGGAATTAGTCATTTTCATTAGTAATACATGCGCTCCTACTCTTCTTCATTCTTGTTAGAAGTAAAATAATTAGCTCTGACAACTGGGAATCTCCCTGGGAGGCTCATCACTGCCCATCTGGCCTTGAGATAATTTCTCAACATCGTACCATTCTGTGAATTATTTCACATGACTGTTTGGTCTTCCTCTCTAACTGCCTGCATCTTTGAAACGTGCTGCCTGCAGGCACAGCCATGACATCTGTTTGGCACGTTCCCTGCACTGGAACACAGGGTTCATGGACAGGCTTATATGTTTGCATTCTTAATCCTCATCATGTGTGTAAGGCCGACAAGTATTGTCACGTAGGTGAACTCCAGATGCAAGAACTGAAGCGTAAAGGTTAAGAACTGCTGAAAGCCAAAGAAGAGAGGATCAAAGCAGAATTCTGACACTCTCATCTCCCATGAGTAAAGCTGACTGCTCTCAAGACTGAAGTAGAAGTTATCTGACTACAAGTTTGCCCTGTGCTCTAGTGTAACCATTGCAGGATTCATGCCAAAGCTGTTTCTCTGACTGCAGCAGGAGCAGTACTTACTTCATCCACTCCTCTTTCAGGCAAACAAGGCACTGATCCACAACATCTACAGAAAGGTTCTGGTTGGTCAGAGCAGCTTCGATCTTGTTCAAGATTGTAGGACCAACTGCAAGATCAGAAAGAAGGGAAATGGTGAGAAATAAATAGGATTTGCAATCTATAGGTGGTAACTGACAGCTTTGCTGGTAATACCAAGGACTGACCCATTGATCCTGAGTACCTGCTGGAATTACAGGTGAACACCTGTTTGTTCCACCTCCTAGTCTGTTACAGAGTCCTGGTTTGCACTCATTTCTCACCAATACTTTGACCTGGTGCATCAATGCAGTTTCTTTCTATATGCAGAAAGCTGAAGCATTAATAACAGCACAGCCAGTTTCAGCACAGAACATTACCTCTGAACTCATCACACCAAATTCCTGCTCAAGTCAGGAAGAAATCTACCTGTTCTAGAAGGTGAAAGAACAGGCCTCCACAGCCTGCCCTCGTTTCACATGTTTTTAGAGGCTATAAAAGATCATTCCACTAATACACCTCTGATCCAAGATGCAACGTTGAATTCTGTACAGGATCCTGGGACATGCACACAGGTTCAGGGGCCCTTCTTTATAAGGCTCACCTTTAAAATGAAGTTACAATGAGCTCTATCAATAGCTCAGTACATATGCAAAGCTATGAAAAACCTTCATGCTGTTTATTATATACATGCATACGTATAAATAAAAATATACATTAAAAAGCTAACCAACCTGAGGCATCCCTTTCCTGGACAACTTATAGTATTCCCTAGGAGTCTATTTTCCCAGCTCTCTATTGCCTAGTAAGCATGATGCTGTGATTAATGGCCTGTCTTGGACAATTTTTGTCCTGAAGCTCCTAGACACGCCATTATCAGATAGAAAATAGAAAGCTACAATTATGTACATTGGACCTACAGCAGCTGCTGGAGCTCAGAAATAACTCTGCAGAGGGAGGGAATCTTTGCTTTACACTGCACCTGAATGTTCAGTGGACAGAGTTGACCACCTGTCTGTGTCTTTTGAGACAGACAAATGATGCCAATGCGTTTAATTTTGGACTTCCAGAAAATACGAGATGGGTTGGACCTGACCAGAATCACATCGACTTGCAAGTGCTCAAAGTCACTGAACAAAGCAGGTAAAGGAAGGTCTGCCACTTCTGTATCACTCGTATCAGTCCATCGGGTGGAGTGTGGGGCACGATGAGCAGCACCACAGTCCTTACACGTTTAGCAGCTTAAACCAGAGACATTCAAACCGAACTGATGAGCACTTCAGGACAGAAAGTGCCTGTCATAGTTTTCAAAAGAATTTCCCTACAATTGCTACTGAATCCACGTTACAGAATTTGTTTCCCATTTCTGAGGATTAATAAGCAAAACGCTGATCTTCTAAACAGACTATGGTAGACATAACCTAAACAGCTGTAAATTCTCAGCCCCTGTCCTAGAGAGGTTTGGCCTTCCACTCTGACTTCCTCAAAGGCCAGCACATGAACGGCATAAAAAATGGTTAAAGATCAGGATTCTTATTTTATTCTTCAGGGTCCAAAGCACCCACCTCGATCTGCTGCAACAGGACTGCCACTGGTGACAACAAACTCATACTTGTTGAGGGACTGCTCATCTTCCAGCAGAGTTGGGTAGAGAGTGGAGCGGGTAGCAGCGCGAACTTCCACGAGGACTGCAAACTCTAGAGCAACAGGAACCCAAAACAACATTATCTATAATGGCCCAGATTCTAAAACACAGCTGCAAACTCTGC